GTCTATTAGTTTGCAATATATTGTGGTTTTTATCGTTCCTTCGTTCCTGTACACCCGCAAATCAAGGAATGGATGTGTACCGCTCTGCGCTTATGCTCCCTGGTACATTTTTCACATCGTCAATGGAGTTCAAATAGTTTAAGAATTTCTTTTTTCAACTTTTTATAATCGCAAAAGTGTCGTCTACGTAGCGCCACCATACTTTCAGGGCACAAAGGAAATTTGAGAATGACTTTTTTAAAATCCTTCTAATATGTGGTATATTAATGATCCCACGGCAAGGCTGTACTTGAGAATACATTCTAAAATAAAGTGTGAAATAAGTCATGTTGAGACACAGGGCTATCTTCTCGAGTAGTTGATCCACTGTTAACTTCGTTCTGTTCACTTAGCAGTTTTCCCCTACCAGGCAGCTTCTCAATAATCGGAACACCTCCTTGAGTAAAACCGTGTACAAGGTAATGTCGTCTTGCCCGATGTTCACCCCTCTCATGTTTCTTGTAAACTCGTTAGTTTTTTACAAATTTGCTTGTTCCTGCTATGTTTTCTAATTTATGTGCCAAAACGCTATGTATCTCACAAGTGAAACGGCCATATAATCAGTGCACAACCAACCGAACCCCTTTTTATCGTACTTCATTTTTCTTTTCTTTAAAGAAGCACACTCAGTGTGATACAATGCGCCTCATCCAAACCACAAAAATACCAGATCGACCGGTTTTCCCTCAGCAGCAGTTGCTGCTCGGGCTAGCCTAGCTACGCTTCGTCATGAGTTTTACTTTTGACGTCTAATAATTCAGACCGACTTTCAGACCTAGTGAAGCTTAGGTATGATATCTGCGTTACAAAAATCGACACATCCCGATGTCATTGATTCCAGTCCTTCAAGTTCAAACGGATGCATGGATGAATACGCGAGGGGTAAACTCGCTAAAGAAGAACAATTTGGTGTACGTATTCGCAACTCCGAAACCCAAAAGCGCCATCGTTGTATAGATTAAAGTGATTCCAGTTGGGATGCTTACTACTGTATTACTAATAACCTACAGCCTCAAAAGCAAATATTAAAGTACATAAACTAATAGCGCATTAATGTGGTGTAAACACTTAAAAGCGAATTCTGACTGCTCTCTTAGGTGAGCATCATACAAATAAACTTTGTAATTCTGTGAACATTGAACAAAGGACAAGAAGCATCGCTTCACAAGCCTTGTTAGGTAGTCTGGTGGATCATCGAAAAATGTTAATAAACATGAATACTTAGTAGTCCTGCTGCTAAAAGAATGGACTTATCGTATGTAACGTAGTATCCTTGCATTATTAGTGTTTACATATATTCAATGGGCCAAACAATTAAATCCGTTGTTTCCCGGGAGTAGGCTGGGGCGTAGTGTCAAGTAACAAAATGTTAGTGGTGGAATGTGTCATCTAACTGACTTTTAAATATGGCTAGAACGGGTGAAGATACTACAAATTCGGTCGAGCGAGCCATGGTATATACACACAAATGAAAAAGAAATTTCTACGACACGCCGGACGGCTGTACTCTTCTGTTAATCCCGTGCAGTGGCCTCTAAGTTTGGTTTTACTGCAGAGTTGCAGTAAAGAGCGGCACAAGTGATTTGGATTGCGTTATATCAAGTATTCCTCAATCAACTCGCCTTATAATCGGTGATACAGTCAGCCGAATACTCCAAAATGTTTCAGCCTCTGCTCGTATAAAAGATGGCGCATTGCAATAGCATATGCGAGGCTAACGTTTAGGTTGGTCCAGTGCAGTAAGGTCGCGCTTCAACCATGGCTAACAGGCTTGGATTGGGCATTTGACTCACGGGGCGAACAGACGCGGTGAGTTTCTGGCCGAAAATAGAGGTGTCTCTTTGCCCGTACACTGGTCGTTGCAAGTTGACGTGTTGGTTACCAGTTTTCGAGGCCTTTGCGGATTGTTTTCAGCAACACAAGTTGTCCAAAACAAACACGCCAAGGTCGCGTTCAACAGATAGGCGATGCAGTACTTGCCTTCCTAGAATGTAGGGATAGGTACTCTGGTGTCGTAAGTAGAGTCCCTTGCATTTTCTTACGTTGAACTGTAGCACATTCCGAATTGTCCACTTATGCATCATATCCAGGTCACGCGGAAGTGAATTCTGATCGACATATGTCTGAATCAGGCGTCATATCTTGATATCGTCAAAAAGCAGCAGGTACCTTGAAGCCATTGTACGTGCAAATCATTAATGAATAGAAGTCTGGGTAAGCGAACATATGATTTCGGTAATTCTTCATCAGGCAATTATAAATATATTAAATGCAAAATTTTGTATACAGACCCAACGGGTCGTCAGTCAGTCAAATTGATCCTAGTGCGCTGTGACAAACTGTCGGTTAGGTTCCAGTTGTAGTCGTACGCGCGTACAGGTCAACTGCATTCCGTTCTGGCCAAGGTAGGCTCAACGCATGAGTGAACATATTCTGCGCGCACAGTGCTGGTTCGTACAGCCGAATGGCGATAGCTTCTGCGGCGTCTAATATCCGCTTACGGAAATACTTAGATCGATTTTCTGGGGTCTGATGGATTACTTTGAACGAATCAGCCGACTTGATGGTGTGACTGGTATCCGCAAGATACGTGGCGATGGCAGAGTTGGTGACCTTTTGGCCTCCATTTCCGAGCCAGGCCGGATGGTGTCCCCTCACCGTTTCGGATAAGCGTATTGTCCTACGTCCAACGTAGCCTGCTCCATAGGAACAGGTAAAGGAGTAAACGCACATTGATTTGGTGTGGACAGGCAGCTTATCCTTGAGGTTTAGTCTCACCATTGGGTTGCTAGGGAACCGGATTTGCAGCCTCGCCGCTGGAAAGGTATTCCTGAGTGGGGACGACAGACGGCGGGATAGATTCTCTGATACTATTTGCCCTTTGTAAGGCAGTTGTAGGAAAATAGGTTTCCGTTCCGCCGTCAGGAACATAGGTGTCTCCCTGTTTCGTCCCATATTGGCATTAATAAAATTCTCTGGGTAACCATTCGCTTTATTCGTCGATCGTATTAGCTGCTACTCTTCGAAAAGAGTATCTTTCAAGCAGCTTATTTTGGCCTGGTTCACGAGACTGAGGACCCAGTTTCTCTTAATCCGAAGCGGCACAAATCTATGCAAGTTTGTGTACTGACCATTCCAAGTGCACTTTCGGTATACGCTATGTTTTTCTGCACCACCATCAAGTCTTTGTAGAGCTACATCGCGAAAATGGAAAGCACCGTTTTCCTCTACCTCGTAGGTGAATGGTATAGCCTAGTGAGCCTGGTTAAATACGCTGGTAAGCTTCTCGATGTCACCGGAGGTGTCAAGTACGACGAAGATGTCATCTACGTAACGGAGGTATAACGTGATGCAACTGATGACCGCTTTCAATTTACTCTGTTCCAACATACCCATGAAAACATCTGCTACTGCAACTGGAACCTAACCGACGGTTTGTCACAGCCCAATAGGATCAATTTGACTGACTGACGACCCGTTGAGTCTGTATACAAAATTTTACATTTAATATAACTGTAAAAGCCTGATGATGTATTACCGAAAAAATTAATGAATATCAAAAGCTATCATAGCGCTGAAACTGTGCCCTGGGGCAATCCAGACTAGACTTGTTTGTAACCCTGTAAGATACTCCGGACGCTGGACACTAATTTTCGTTGTAGGAGAAAGTTGGCAATGCAGCTCAATTGATGGTCACCGATCCTGAAATACTGGAGCTTGAAAAGTAGCATCCGATGATCTAAACGACCAAAGCCTTTGACAAATCCAGGTTGATCACATCAGCTGCCTCTTCAGCGTCAGCTGACTCAATACATCTACTGCCCGTGATTAATCCATTCGTTGTGCATAATCGCTGTCGACGAAAGCCGTGTTGCTCGGCGGAAACAATGTTACCATTTTCTGAATAACACACCAATGCATCAGCAACGATGGATTACAAGACTTTGATAATAGAGGGAGAAGAGTCAATTAGCAGTAGTTTGAGGGCGCCGACCTGCTTTCGTCTTTGTGAATCGGAGTTAATATTCCAAGCTTCCAGATTGTAGGAACCTGGTTCTGGTCTAAGCAGCGCAGTGCCACAGGTTGTAAGTGTTACCTTGCTGCTGCTCCAGGCGCCAATGGGCGAATGGTGTCGACTCCTGGGTAGTTGTGGTTGAGTAAATACGTCAACTTCTGCAACACATATTGAAACTTAAGTGAAATATTTTGTGTACTAAGCGCAACATCTTAACATCTAGCTGAGTTAAGAAGAGGTTACATGTAGAATACCTGCGTCAGTAATCGGGTTATGTTTTGAAAAGTATTATTTGTGTAGCCTTGTTTATTTTAAGTTGAACTGTTTCAAAAACTGTTTTAATTTAATTTCTTGTGTGAATGATATCAACAGAGTCGCGCAGCTAAGATAGCGATGAAAGAGCTGTCCCGTAAAATAGATTAAGGATCTATTTTGCAATGTTTTATTAAGAAACGCAAAAAATTCATGCTTCCAGTCGTTTGGGATTTACTACGAAATCTTACATGTCGGTCTGCAGAAGAAAAGTAACTTTACAGGCTTTATTCGAGTCAAAATTATTCGACTTGTCATGTTATAATAATCTAGTAAACTGTTTGCCACTCCAACCTTAGACCCATTTCTGCCACTCATTTTACACATAATACGCAGCATCTGCATCTGAGCATTCGTAATCACTGTGTCATCGCAATACAAAGTAAGTACAATACAAGTTAGTACAATAAAAAGTTATTACATTCTGACAGTGGAACCATCTAGTTATTCTGGCAATGTCAGACGAGTAATACGGTCGACTTCCTGAAATACAAAATACAAGAAGAAGCAATTGGCTACTCAGGAATATTCGAACACATCAACACCTTGCATTTTATCGTGGCAAAAGTGATAAAATCTAATGGGATTATTTCATCATCTAGCTAAATATATATGTGTATTTCTGCTATTCTAGGTGATCGAATCCGCTGACGCCTATGTCGTGGTGTACGCGATCGATGACCGTTCCTCTTTCTTGACTGCCCGCTCAATTGTGAGCTTTCTGTTGGGAAAATGCAAGCGGTCGAGTGCTATCGTATTGGCTGCGAACAAGTCCGACCTTGTGCGCACTCGTGCTGTCTCGGTCGATGGTAAGAAGCCCGTATTTAGCACAAAAGATTGAGAAGCAAATATCCGGTTTTTTCGCTGCCCACGTGCTATCAATTTAATTTGGTTTCCTTAGCGTGTCTTTATTCAAATGTTAGGTCTGCTTATGTACGAACGGATTATGTGCGCCTGACAGTAAAAATTCTACTATTGGAAGTCCGTGACCAGCAAACACTGAAGCACATTGTCGTAAAGTGTATGATGTTGGATTTTCAATGTTAATCTATACTCACGGAACCACTTGAATGAAGCTACTGCATTTCTGGCAGGCTCGCAGTCAAACATATTATATGACTAAAGAAAACTATAGGCCATATATCAGAAGTTAAGTTCAGATATCCTTCTCCCGGTATGTACATTCATGCACAACATCAGAAGAAATAGAACGGACTAGATCGGTGCACGTGACACATATTACTTCTAATTTCTGAATTGCGAAACTTTACCTAATGCTGGGTGATCTCAACTTCTTCATTGTTTTCTGACACAGCAATCCATATAGCATAGTTTGATCACTGCACCTTTTATGACATTTGACATTATCGAATACAAATGGCTTCAGCTCTCACAAGTGAACTAAGCAGCAACATTGCAGTGGGTACCGGATGATACTTGGCTTATGTTTCTAAACCAGATGTAGAGCCTCGGACCACCCGTTGTAGCCTACATGGGCCAAACGATGTTGCTACTGGCCACTTTACTTATAGACACAACGAATGTTGGTTAAGTAGCAGAGGAATTTCGGTTCATAGATAGGCATAGCACATCCCACATCACAATGTACTTCTATTGCGCGAAAGATCAAGTGATTCTCTTAAAGATGTGCCCTATAACTAGCCTGCTGATTAAAGGAAATCAATAAATATAATCTAGAAATTTATATTCAGGTACATAAAGTCATTACAAGGAGACAGTAAATACCTGAGTAACAATTAATTGTAAATTATGCTGCGGGATATTCTAAATCGCCAATCGATAAGGCGCTCCTTAAAATAGCCCATGTAAGTGAACTGGGATGCCCCTGTGAATCAAAGATGCATGTACAATTATAGATTTCAAATATTTTATGGGATAAATAATATATTGTTCCACAAGCTTATTAATTTATATGAGATTGATATAGGTAAATCTGCATAATGCGGTGCGACATCAATCTTAATTCACAGGTTTAATCTCCAAATTAAAATAGACCAGACGATCTTTCTAATTATGCACCCATAACTTTCATTATGAGTAACGTTTTTCTTGACAAACATACTATAATCTCCAAATTCATGCTATTACATAATCCTATAACTATGATTACACTTGTTGTGTGCATTCCTCAAGAGGGAAAAAATTTGGCCGCCGTATATTCCTGTCCATTTTACGAAATCTCAACTTCACTGAACCACCGCGTTGATGAAGTTCTAGTTGGAATTATCGTGGCCATCCAAGAACGCCGTCTAGAAGTAAACCGGGAAAGGAACCGACTGGAGCGAATGGCAAGTATCAATAAACGTGGTTCACTCAGTTCACCAGGACATCGAATGTCATTTGGTACCATGAAATCCCCATCCAGCGGCTTTGTCAGATTTTTTCAGAGATATTTTCTTAAGAAAGACAAACGTCCAAGCGCCGTACTGTGATTTAAATTTTATGTACATGGATACGTTTAATAGTTTCTGTAATTCAGCTGACCAATGCGTATTGTGATTTGCTCCGTACGGATAACTTGCTTCGCATAGTCATTACCATATACTGACAACGTTCCATTTCAAATTTTCTGTCAATTTCTTAGTCAGCACTGAAACAGTGCTTTCGGAAGCCACGTTGATGTTACATTTCCATGTCCCATTTTACCTTGAACTTGCACTTTCCTACAAATAAGTACAATTGCTTATGGTTTTATTATTTTTGACTTGAGAGCTACCGGTAACTATCGAACATTTTCTGACGGTTTGAAACAGCATGAAATTACCATACGTTCTGTAACTCTCTTTGAATTTAAATTGCTTGCTGGTAGCAGGAATGTTAACTTTATGCTGTTGATGCAAAAAGCTTATATGCCATTCGAACTAATAAGTTACGAAGGATGTAGCCGTACTTGTGTGAATAACACCTGAACTACTCGGCAATATATATTTTTATTTATTAATTTGCTTTCACTTACTCAGGTTGTCCGAGATCTGATAGCGTTGCAATCTATTCTAATTTGTTTCTGCATCGCGGTTAGGATACATTGAAACTGAACGTTAGAATTTTCTTAGTACATTTCAGCAAAGCAAGAAATATTGCTCGTCTAAAGTTTACAAATATTTTTCCTAGTCTCAAAACATATATATATATATATTGAGAATATGAAAAATGTTTGCAAAATTTAGACACGCAATATTCCTTGCTTTTCTGAGATGTACTGAGACAGTTCTAGCGTCCGAGTTCCATGTATCCTAACCGCGATGCCGAAACAGATTAAAATAGATGTCCATCCCCATCAGATCTTAGAAAACCTGAGTAAGTGGAAGCATAGTAATAAGTATACAAAAGAATTTTGGGTTGCCAAAGAAATTACTGCAATGTTTTATTGTCCACAGGAGTTCAACCTTTCTATCATGCACCATTTTACCCTGATAGAGTGCAACCATAATACTGTTGCCAAAATGGAGCGTCAGCCATCGTTGTATCAACGTTATGTAATACACAATTATCAGCTAAATGCCTTTTCCTAGTAGCAGTGCAGTCGATGACTGAGACAAACCTCATGATTGATAAGGCATAAACGTCAATTAAGGCTGTCAGTATCTCGACCCTTAATTATACTCTCCGTTGACGGTGTTCCAGTTACAAAAAAGGGTATATGTATTTTTTTGAAAAGAACAATTTCTGACAAATTTAAGAATGTATGACAAAGAACGGTCTCCTCCTATGTAAACACATATTGTCATAGAGTAAATAGTTGCAGGAGGAGACACAAGGCAACTTGATAAAAAGTAATAAACTCATTAACAATAGTTTATTTTAATAAAGGACCCAAATAATAAATGACAGGCAAGTTAATGTTCTTAACCCGAATAAAGAATGTAGTATTATGTCGATAATTTCGAAAAATAAAGCACGTTGCACCATATCTCTTTTAATTATACTCACTATTAAAAAAGCTGGTTATCTTGTAATCTTCAGAATTTATTTGGTGTTTAAGTTCAAATTTTGATATATGACTGAAGTCAGGTGGAGAAGCGGAGTGTCATCATTTCCTTCCCGTCTGTTTGTCGGCCACGGAAGTTTTGTTATTTGTAACATCTTTTTGTGGATCAACATTTCCAGGTTTTTTAGGCGTATGCACACTGCCTTAGCGGTGGCATTCGGCTGGATCTTGCGCGACGGTTATGCTTCTTTTGGAGGTAATATTCTGAATTACAATGACTACGCCCGCTATAGACATCAGGGCCATTGCGGTTAAACTAGCACAAAAGTAATTGTGCATGCAACAATTGATAGCACTTAACCTCATGTTGTCTTATTTGTGGATTGAAGTTGACCGTCGTACAACTGAATCCCAAGTGTTGACCTAAATATCCAAAAGATAAATACACTAAGACCAACCATATTACGCTAGGTGATTAAGTATTGGCAATATTGCGCTATTGTAAACACAAGGTTCCCAAAACTGAAGACATAAGTCATAAAGTGCGACTTAAAGTACCAGAACTTAAATCCCGCAGTTGCTTGAAAGTTCCCAACTCCATTGCGTAATAATAAAGCCATGATAATGTATAGCAACAGGCAAAAAATTCAATTAACTGAATCTTTGACTAAAGAGTAAACTAAGTCACATTTAAAATCTATAAAAAGACATGCATTTTATGCAGATCCTTAGGAGCGAATATAATTTTAATAGTAAGAAAAAAGCAATGCAGTGGGATATTAGGAATTAAGAGATCTCCGTTATTCTCATCGCATATAATTATACAATCCATGGAAAATTGGTGTTGCGTTTAACGTGAAACACGGTTCAAGGTCAGTCAAGCTAAGTTAGAAACAATGAAAGAAAAGATTACTAAGGCAAAGTGAGGCTGGTCACAAACTCATTCCTTCTGCACAAATTAGGTTTCAGCCTACGAATTGCTGAATCTTCAGCAAACTGAAGCATACGAGCATTGCTCTGTCGGTTAAGGTTCCTGAACGATTTACGGGGATGTTGCCATATCGAACAGTCTATGATATGCTAAGCATTGGAGCTTCTTGCAGCTTGGGACCATTTCTCAACAGTATTACGTGGAATGTGCTCTGAAATCCTGGTGGTCTGCCTTCTAGCAGTTCGGCCCACGTACTTGCTAACACAAGTACAGTAAAACAGGTAACTACACGAGGCGGTAACTAGAGGAACTGGCATGCCAAGGTTGGATTTACGTAGCAGCTTCCTTACATGGTGAAATAGTACAAGTTCGGCCGGATGATAACACTTCCTTCTCATCTGGCGGAGACAGAGCCGGAATCTTCTGTCATAGTGATCCGCTTTAAATAGTGTTGTAATAAACACATTTGTCTTGGGAAGGATGGTTAGTCATTTTTCTTCGGTTTCCTTTGTGCGTATCGTTCTACAAATCTCTCAGGGTATCCGTCTTCATGTATGTTGAGGATACTTGCCCCGGCTTACTGCTGATAGCATCTTTAGAGCACATTTTACGAGCTCTTGAAAAAGCATTACGAACTAATGCTTGCTTATCGTTTTATAGTCTTATAGGACAAAAACGGTTAAAGTTTAGTTATCATACCGAGCAAGTAGGCTTGCGATGCACGGATAGAGTGAGCCTACCTTCTGGATCCCCCTATTGCTTTACATCTAAAAATGGAACATGTTATTCATTTTACTTTCCTTCGTGAAGTAGACTGCAGGTTGGCACGCGTGTAGAACATCGAGTAGCTGCGTAGCCTGCAGAACAATATCAATCACAAAAAACGTGCTATCAATGTGGCTACAGTAAAATGTACAATTTGGATGCTATTTTATAGCGTGGTGTTCTCTAAATTGCCCATGAAAATATCAGCCAGGTCTAGACAAATGGCCTGCCTATGGCCACACCAACTGTCTTACGTTAGATTGATCCATCGAAATGAAACTGAATGTCCTGTGCACAATACAAATGGGGACTTAAGCTGCCGCTCCGGAAATCCCAAATTTTCAGCGTGAACTCCGATGATATCTGAAGTCTCTTCCTGTGGTTCGTTGGTTAACAAAGCGCACACAACAGAAGTCTACATGCATTTACTTTCTATATTTAAGCGTTGGGTTCTGTCGACGAATTAGAATGCATACTTCTACTGTGTCCAGTTAGCTGCCGTAAGATTGACACATAAAGCTGAGATATTCATCGTGCCAATTTCAGATACGACATGTTTACCACTAAGACGAACGGACGCAGGGTGATATTTAGTTTTTGAGTCTCTGGAAAACAGTATATATGAGAAAATAATAATCAGCGTGGGGGGAACTGTGACATCCTATTAACATCGGTACATTCATCTTTTAGTGGCGTTTTCAGTTCACTAATTACGGCCTTTAAACTTTCTCGGTTTTTTTCACGACCTGTCGACTCGCGAGTGAAGCGACCAGTGTCTGCAAGATGCGACTGAAATTTTGGACATTTTCTTGCTTATCAACTATGATTACTCCTGCTCCTTTGTCACGTTTCAGTATGGCTACGTTACCATTTCGGCGCAAGTTCATTAGCGATTCCCAGTGATCCTATATTAGCATTCTCCAACAAGAAATTGGCTAGCTAAATCTACCGATTTAGATGTAAATCAAACGCGTGCGTAGTCGCAGGCTGGAGTCAAGTTAGGCGGTTGGGCATACAATTTGTCGGACTGTGTCTTCATTATTATTCTGTCACATTTCTTTGATGGCAAAGCAAAATTGAAACCCAGAACCTATTTCTCAGGCATTATCCATATCTGTTCACAGAAACACCCCAAGTACATAGCGACGAATATATGTCGTTTGGTTGCTGATCGCGTTTGTTATTTTTGATAACTTCAACTTTAAATCAAATGAACTTAAACAATCTTTTTATAAAATGCTACACCAATTTGTACGAATTGTACGCTAACAGGTTTTGCGAATACCCAAAATATCTGAATTATTGGCATCCTGTTGAAATAATGTTCCTTCTTAGTATCTTAAAATTTGCTAGCTAAAATTCTGCACGAAAATATTTGAGCAACTCTGTCCTGGCAGCTATATTTTTTGGCTGGATTATCCGGTGGATTTACGCTGTAGCACATCCCGTGAGTCTGCTCGAGTGGAAATTTATACTCAATGGCTTCCGACGTTAGTCTACTTATTTCAATTCATAAGGATACTGAGAAACTAAGGATTACCAGGAACCCTCGTAATTTTGTGTCCTTTAACCAGATCCCACATTGAAGCATAAACTCAACGTATTTGATTATTAAGAGCTAGTTTGAGATGTGATAACCGGAATCGGAGCTGTTCAAATCTCGTTTGCTGGGCATCTATTCTTAATTGCTTTCGACAAACGCAGTTAAATACTTGATCGGTTATAAATAACTTATTTTGTGGTCCTTGCTTCACATATCCACCGTCTCATTGAGTGAACTTCTAATTGAAGATCTCTCACTGGGGCTCCATTTTACTTTGCCATCAAAGAAATGTGACAGAATAATAATGAAGGCACAGTCCGACAAATTGTATGCCCAACCATCCAGCTTGACTCCAAGCTGCAACTACGCACGCGTTTGATTTACATCTAAATCGGTGGATTTAGCTAGCCAATTTCTTGTTGCAGAATTCTAACATAGGATCACTGGGAATCGCTAATGAACTTGCGCCGAAACGGTAACGTAGCCATACTGAAGCCTGACAAAGAGCAGGAGTAATCATAGTGGATAAGCAATAAAATGTCCAAAATTGCAGTCGCATCTTGCAGACACTGGTCGCTTCACTCGCGAGTCGACAGGTCGTCACAAAACCGGGCAAGCTTAAAAGCCGTAATTAGTGAACTGAAAACACCAGTGAAAGATG